CGCCTTGAGGCATGGAACATATGTACCAAATATGCCAAAGATGTCTACAAAATTATCTCAGTTATTATTAAAAAACTGATTATTTTTGAAAACTTTGCCACCCTGTATCTCAAAAGTTAAGGCGTTTAGGACATACGCCCATAGGACGTTTTTTCCTTAAAATGGGTCTAAGAATTACCTCCTTAATATTAGCATGTGTGTGTATGTGTGTGTATATGTCCAATAACTCACCACTATAATGAAAATGATATATTCAATACATCTTTTCATTTATTTAAAAAGTGTATTAAACGACTCTTACTGAACAACAGTTTAGAAAATCTGTGAATTTTTGGGCGTATTCCCTCCCTGTTATGGCACTATTGTAAATAAATAAATAACTCACGTAAATTAACCTAACTAATCGTCCGTAGGAGAACAATAAAACAGCTAATACCATTTGAAATAACAAATCAGGGTTATTATTTTACTACAAAAAAATACATAACACACTATTTTTCTTTACATATAACTAACATATATTAGTATAAATAACATATAAATAATTTTCAAATTATTGTTCAGGCTTCTTAGATAAGAATCTCGTTCAGATTAATCATTTCCGCCAAAAAAATTCCAACCCCTTCCCTTCGGTTGTGAAAGAAATTAATATTTTTCAGCAAATTGAAAATGAACGTTGCCAGTAGGCCCCACCAGAATAATTAGGGTTGGAAATTTGTTTGTCGAAAATCATTATTCTGGTCGAGATTTTTATCTGGAAAACCCGACCTATTCAACATNATCTTGAAGTTGATTTTAATGATGATCCTGTGGTCATTAAAGCTGCATACAGGTCTCCCTCAACTTGTATTGGAGCTTTCACTCAAAATTTACCGTGAAAGTCAAGCGAAGAATAATTTAAAAAAATCTTTTTGGATATCAACATCAATGTACATGAAGAATATGAATACTTATCTGCCATGAATTCAGCAACACGATGAAACAAATTAGATATGGAATTGTTTTCTGGGAACTATGCTTTAGAGATTTCGAATGATTTTTGTACTTCAAAGAGTTGTCAGGTACATGTGCAAAGCAGTTACCGGGAATAGATATGTGCAAGCCACTCTTTGAAGGAAGTAACTGTCTCATTTATTATGCAAACTATCTGCTCAATAAACGTAATTCATTTTGCGTGACCCCCATTTCCTGATATATTATCTCTCAAAAGCAATATTGACCTGCCTATTTATCCTTGGTTTTTGAGAGAATTAAATATTTTTGAGTATTTACATTTGTTCGATTCATGCTCATTAATGTTCTCTGCATTTCATATCTTCATTTTCATTTGTATCGTAATTATTATTACCAAATGACGGATTGACTAATAATGCTTGTAAGACTTTATCATCATATGTAATTATCTTCAGAAAATAAGTAAGTATATTTGATTAATTTATTCAAAATTTAAAAAAACCCTCTCAAAACAACTACTTCCATAGGTCGGTCGGTAGCCGGGCGGTTCGACGTGGGGGCTTTGTTCACTCAGTCAATCGGCCGATGGTTCAAGTCGCAGGCTGAATGCTCGATTTTTACTTGCTATCGTCCAACCCGTGTTAGGAATCACACGTTTAAAGGTAAGACCTCGTTAGTTCTTAGCTCACACAACTTTCGAATTCTGAGGGTTGTCGTTCGTAGGGGTGCGATAGCTGGTTAACGGAAAAACATATTTTTAACATATCTTTTTTAAACATATGAATATTGAATTACACAAAAAGAAAAATTACTTTCGGAACAACTACTTTCATGTGAACATTTAATTATGCGAAAATCACTTTTTCCCATTCAGTGTATACTCCAAACATTCGTTATGGAACTGTCTCAGATATCATTTATAGAAATAATACACAATATAATACGTGAAAGAGTTACGATATAGAATTCCACTTACAAGGCGGACTCAATACTTCGAAGTTTCAAAATGAGACATTTGTCTTATTATCTCGAATTCTCAGCAACGACAGAGACTCCTTGCTAAACTGCCTCATCAGCACCAATCTGTATAACTTTACGAGAAGGAGCACTCAATTCATTCATAACATTATGACTCGTATGACACGGACGAGTTAAATGTACTCACGTCACGATGAACGAATATAATGACATAGTACTCGTATTTAATTTAATTCCAGCCATAGGACTTTTGTTTGAATTGAAAGGAGTATATTTTTGGGAGAGATCCGTTTTTGGGAAAGAAAGGTTCTGGCTTTCTACTTCTCCATCTTTATACAGAAAAGAGGAAAACTTCGGAAGGAAGAAAGCAATTAATTTCAAAATAAACTCTTCACAAAGTTGTGAAGATCATTCATGGAAGTTGCTTTCAGTACCATAACGAATGTTTGGAGTACAAAATGAAAGGGATAAGTGATATTTGTATAATTCAATGTTCACATGAAAGTAGTTGTTTCAAAAGTTTTTTTTTCCTTTATTAATTCAATGTTCCTTCGAAAGTTTTCCCTTTTTTTGCATAAAGGTGATGAAGTAGAAAGCCAAAACCTTTCCCAAAAACTGATCCCACCTGACAATATGTCCCATTCAATTTAAACAAGATTCCTCTGGAAAGGATTGAATTAAACAACTGTATAAATGTCATTATGATCTATTATCGTAACATAAGTTGATTTAAATCATCAGTGACATAAAGTCATAGTGTTATGGATGAATTGAGTGATTCATCTTGTAATATTATCCAGATTGGTGATAATGAGGCAGTTTAGCAACGAGTCTCAGTCATTGCTGAGACTTCAAGATATAACTTCGTCCTCGCAGTAAACGCACATACCACTGATAATATACTTCTGCAGTAGCAGAAAGAACGTTTGGTACTATAAGTTCCATTCGACCGCAGCCTACCAGCCCGGATTGTTTTCTCTAATCGTAACCCTGGCCGTGAAAGCCTATTTTCTTATTACTTAAAACGACTTTAAGGTTTTGAAATCCACCAAAACATATCATTGACGATTCTATAGAAATTGGGAGCTAACACGTTTAGCCTCTCTGATAAAAAGAACAGCGACAATTCCAAAATTAACAAAGCCATTTTAAGCTGAGGGGATTTCAAGAGCCATGATTTTTTAGTACCTTGGCAATTCTACTATGAAATTTTTCTGTCTGTATCATTTTTGACTCGATTCACATTAATAATTCCTCAGCCTCATTATAATTTGTATGGAAAATTAATGAAGAAAATTTCAAACTTACCAATAAACATCTCTTAAGTCAAATAAATTGAGTAATTTTGAGAATTTGGTAGCTCGACGTGACTCGATAATATTGTTTTATAGATTTGAGTATTGGAAATGAGATTTTTTTATCAGAGTCAAACCACGCCAAAAGTTAAACTACTACATATATATGAATGGAGTATGTTTATATAAACTCCCATATTCAAATTATACACATTTCAAAATGAAGTTACTAATGACCTCCAGCAAATTCCACCATTCAAACAAAGCAAATTAATTGTAGTATAGAGTTGTCGATAACTATATGAAATATGACCACACCGATTGAGACTTCGTTTCTACATCATATCCCTATCTTTTGCTTATAAGTCACGGTGTTTAAACGGTGGGGTCCACATTTTTTGCAGAAATTGTATTTTATTACTGAGAATAGATCAGTTAGATTTCAAATCTCAAATATGACACTTCTTTTGAATAACAAAAAAACATTTTTTTTACTTGAATTTAAAAACACAAAATGTGATTGGTTTTCACCAAATGAAATATCATTTTTAAATTTTGAAGAACATCGTACATAGAGTGGTTCATGATCCTCAACAAGTAAAACTTCAACTAGCAGTCCTATATTTTATTCTGCAACAATTATTCCCCATTACAGGTTTCTTTTTGAAAAAAATAAAAGTTGTTTCCTACATACACCATTATTTAAGCTGACCCCACTATTACTAATTCGGAAATGGCTTAAAAAATTGGTTGAATTAGATAAAAGTTATCTTTTTGGAGGGAAAATGAATTTTTTTTCAGATAGCCACTATCAAGTGCATTTTTGAGATATTCTGAAAAAACTAAAACTGCTGTATTTCATTGTTGGCGCTACTGCCTTCATTCCAAATAATATGAAATAAGGCAGACGAACTTTATGTATTGTTTGATGTTTGTTAATAGTTTTGATGCTACATTTAGTTCATTGGAAACGTTCAACTTTTTTTAATAGTGACATCAATTTTAGTAACCATCTAGCCACAAAAAATTTAGACATACACACCATATGTAATTCTCGTCGTTTCTGTTCGGAGAAACATCATCAGAGATATCTCCAAAGAGTATAATTCGAAGACGTACATTACCTCCAAATATATCTTGAAACTTTGCAAGCAGATGTCAAAGTCCAAGCATTTATTTGCCAAAAAAGTAACTTTTATGGAGCATGAGTGTTTATTTCAGCTGTTCATCAACAAATTAAAATGGCTGGAAAAAGTTTCAGTGACAAGTCATAATTTCCTTTTGTTTATTAGTATGTAATATGTTTTTCATACGGATTTTTTCAATACAATATTTGGATTCTTCTTGAATGAAATTTTCAGTGACCTAATTTTAAGGTTTTTTTAGAATACAACTGACAAAGTGCATGGACATTCTCGCATCTAACTGCAAATTTTCATTGTCGTTTATGTATTTCTTCTAGTTCTACATACAAAAAATATTGGACTCTACTTTTTGTGAGATATCTCAGATGAAAAAAAGTTCAATGAACAAAACATCACACTGAAAAAATGTATAGGAAAGGATCCATATAGGATCATAACTTCCACTGCCTTATTTTCATATTATTTGGAATGGAGGCGATAGCGTCAATAAACAAAATACGACAATTTTAATCATTTGCGTGTAACTAAAAACAGCCATTAATACTTGCGATTTGAAAAATGATTTTAAATCTTTCCTCCAAAAAGGCAATTTTTTTCTAATTTCGTCGTGTAATAAAGACCAAAAAAAAATGCTCCCGATTCGACTATCAATCAAGTTCTATTGAGATCAATAAAATATTTATCTCTCAAACCAAAGGAGATTTGGCTTCTCAAAATAAAAATTCAAATAAGAATATCTCCATGAAAATGTAATAATTAAAAATGGTTTCCCATGTCCAAAGTGTTTTGCAGGATATATCAATAACAATTTAATGAGTGGAGAGAAAACTGATTTGGTTCAATAAGAGAAATCATACAAAATATTTATCAAGTTTCAATTTCATCATCAGAAGTCTTCCGGTGCTTGTAGTGAGAGGTGAATTTTCTTCAGAGAACAAGAAGGAACTTGTTTTTACTGACAGAAACCACCACTCAAAAGTTATAAAAATACAGTTCATATCTTTAAAATATTTTTCAGAGTGGTTGGGCTTAATTTGATAAAATGACACTTTAATTTCCAAATTTGTGAAAAATCTTTTGAATCTTGTTATTTTCAGGAGGATTACTAACATATTATTCATGTGATAACATATGTTTTAAAATATACTCCCTGCTGGTGTATTTTATTTGAACATATCAATTCCATTGTTTTTGATTTCAAAGTATCACAGTCACATTCGGCGACCTAAAAATTCCTGAGTGATGAGTTTCGTGACATTTTGATTCATGGTCAAATCATAGTCTTTTCTGTTTTTCGCCACATAAAACAAAAATAATTTGTAAATATATGTCTTATGATGTGTATGCGAAATCGAGAATAAGTAAACAAAAGGATCAATTAATTTTAAACTCTCTCGTATGTTGAATATTTTGAAGATTTTAGAACTATCACTACAATCAGTATTAGAATTATATATTATTTACCGTTTTTCAGGTTTTAATTACGAATTCGATAAGACATTCAGACTGATAGAAAACCAGTCTACTTCAATATACTATTTATACTATATAATATATTGTCAACAAAAAACTTCAACTGCAATTAGAGAAAAGATGTTGAAAATTTCAACAAGAAATTTCATAAGCTGGGAAATAAAGTCTTTTTGCAATATCTTTACTATTTTCAATTGACAATAACATTTGAAAATATTAATAAGCAACCATCCCACTTCAAGAACTCGATTAATTTTTCATTAGGGGGCATACATTGATTCATGTAACGAGTATCATAAAAATAAATATGAATTAAAAGCTAACCAAGTCAAATCGCTTCACTCATTAAAAATGTGAATAAAAAATCAGAATATTTTAGTATATCAAAGTACACATTGCATTTTTCTTACCAGTCAAAATATATACAAATAACAGCATTACAGTAACATCTAAGAACAATACACTCACAGGTACATCGATACAGAATACAGAATCAGTTACACTCAATGCTCTCTCACCAATCATCATCCAATAAATAATAATAAAAACTATAAACGGTCTTTTCACAGAAAATCACAGTTGTACGTTAGTACCAATAATAAACCCTAATCAGAAATTTCTACAAATTGTTCAGAAAAATTGTAAGAATATTTAATTTGGGGTTAACAGTATTCATTAAAACCATTTTAGACATTTGCTTACGTATCTAGGAAATATAGGGTGGCGCCTTCATAAAATTTGTTCAAGAATATTTGAACAAACCCCTGGGTACAGAAACACGATTTCAAACACAATTACTCAAGCTTTTTTTTTCACAATTAGAATCATTGAAATGTACAAAGGTTTTGATTTACAAAGTGTACTCTCTCAAGTATACTCAGAAATTGTTCTTGTATGATATCAAATGGTAACATGACTGAAAACACATTCACAGTTACATTCATAATAACTTTACAGCAGAAATGTCTGCTATTGTAGATACTCCAAAGTTGAAAGAATTTGGCACTCTTCTAAAGGAAAAAATATTCACTCTCTATAATTTATACTCACTGCGATTTTCTCAATGTTTTCTTATAATCCCTACAATTATGAAAAATGAGTAGATCAATCATATAAGACAGGATTAATGTTAAAAACAATGCATATTTCTAAATCAATAATCGTAACTAAGAAAAAAAGAAAAACGGAAGAAAATGTATTCTTCACTAGATGTCTCCATTCTAAGAAAACAAATGAACCCAAGACTAGCAAAAGTGTGCTCAAATGAATATTCTGTAATACTGAAAATAGTCTGGTTAATCACTTCAACTAATTCAACTAGTAGATGTCTAAAATTATGATCAAAATAATATCCAAACAAATCTAAATCTTTCAGTTCACTTGAATCATGAACTGACTAGAAACTCAACAGAATAATAAACTTGAAATAGAACAAAACTTTTTCCCTGAAACTGAAAAAATCAACTTTCTAATCCTTCAGTTTCAATTAAGTTTTGAAACAAAGGTGGAAACAAATACTCAAAACATGAACTGACGAACCAACAGTTGTAAAGTAATTTCAAAATTATTATCTAAAATACACATTTCGTGAGTGACTAAAATCGTTCTCAGTGTAAAAGCCAAAGATGAACTGGAATGATCACACCTTGCTGGATGTGATCTGCAGCAGGTTCATGCCTCGTGAATAGTTTATAACTGCGGTGGCATTATTAAAGACGATGAGGCAACAAAGTCATCTGCTTCAAAGTTTGAATTTCCGGTTTTATACTAACGGCTGGGCATGTGCAGTGCAGTTATTCAGAATAAATAAATATCAATTCCCCTTTTCCTTCTATTTGAAAGTGTATCTCTGTTTCTGAATCTCTGTCGTCTCCCTGTATAGTTTAGGAGAGTAGTTCTGAGTTTTATCAAACACTTGGTTTTCAAATACGATAAGGTGAGTGCCTTCTCCGAATGAATGTTCTGCTACCAGTGATTTGTTGATGCAGTAGTGACAATTTTTCTTATGTTCAGAAATCTGCGTACTAACACTTTCTTAGGTCTTTAGTAACACTGTTTGTATATACGATCTCTTGTAGCTTGTGAATGAGATTATGTTGAAACCGTGACAAAATGTAAATAGTTGACTCTCTGAACCAAAGAGAAGTTGTCGTCTGCACTACACTGTATAATTTTCAGGAACGAAGCTATGTCCACCACCAATGGAATAAAGTTGGAGACTGGAACCCTAAATGATGTGTGTGTTGTAAAAAACATTTAGATCAGCATCTATTGCTTCATCTACACGAAAATGTTTAATGTAGTTATAGATGATAGGTCAGTCATAAAAATCTGCACACCACAGCCGATAAATCCAGAAAATTGGTTTGACACCGTCTGAAGCAACTCAATCTTCATCCACTTTCAAATAAACTTATATATTATTTAAAATTCCCCACAGATGTGAGTGAATTCAATAATTAACCATTACCCCAAACTAAATTTTCACAAATTTCCAATGGTACTATCATAAAAATATCTTTTAGGGATAGAACGCTTTATATACATTCAACATAAGCGGAATCAAAAGGTATCTTAAAACTAAAGAAACCTCGGCATTGGTGGGTTATAAGTTTGAGAGTCTGACCTCAAATGAGGGTAAGTTGAAGGCTGATATCGTCGATATGACAATGGGTGGTAAAGGGATCCAGACAATTGTTGAGTTCCACCAAGTGAATTATGAATACGTGTGTTACCATCTCCTAAATCCAGCTCCATTTCTTGTTCTTGAAGTTGGATCTGACCAATAGTAGCAGTGGCCATGGCTACATCGGGCATTATATCAGACAAATGACCATCACTACAAGAGCTACTTTCTGGTTCCGTAGAAAAACGGAAGTCACCTTCTGGTACAATGGCCGGTAATTCTGATCGTTGTGAGTATCCTTGTCTTGGAAAACTCATATTCTTACCATATGAGCTATGTTTATTGCCCACAACAGGTTTGTTAGGTGAAATTTGCAATGATTCATTATCACTTTGGTCGGGCAGGCAGTAGCAGTTTTCTAACATATCGGCCACAGGATCGGGCAGATTGAATTCTCGAACTACCCTCAATCTGATTTGGCGATTTATTTCATGCCTAGACGACAGAGGCATATTAAGGGCACGTTGGCAACTTGGTGACTGACGAAGCTTCTGCTCCCTTTTCAGCATGGCGTTCATCACAGCTGGATCTGGTACAGGCAGAGCTGACGCCAGAACATCGACGCCTGCGGGACCATGCGGCCTCGGCTTTTCTTCCACCATATAAAGAGTATCTGGAATGTCTTGCATGTAACGTGCTCGACGCAACCGCATCATTTCTACTTCCTGAACTAACTGATCCTCGACAAGAACTTTTACTTCGTCATAATATGGCATGAACAATCTGGGTTGTACGAATAAACCATTATTTTTTCCTCCTCGAATCCAAGCATTAACACGAAGATTTTCACGATCACCTCCGATCATGTGACTTGGTGGTGTACTTACCAATCCTCTACGTATAGCATGATTCAATATATCACTATTCGGTGGTAACACGTGGTCCATTCTGACTAGAGGTAATAAATCGGAAAGTATCTCTCTCAATTCAACATCACTCAGGTCTCTTTTTTTCACACCCTTTCTAGCGACTGAATGGGCAGTATGACTCACTATATTTGGTTCTGAAAAAATAAGGATTATATAAACTAAAATACATTTTTATACAGAAATTTTTCATTCATGGTTGGTACTTTATGAAACAACTGAAATGAATTCGACAGTGAATATTTTGATAAGTGAATTTTGAAACTCTGGCATGAAATGAATGACAAAGACTGTCTTAGCCATCTCCTGATGACTAACTTTGTTAGCGAAACTCACTTTGAGACACCAATTTCGTTCTGGTGAGGAAAAAGTGTTTTCAGTTGTGAATATCTCTCCATCGAGAATTCGAGTTAAAAATTAATAATATAAAAGTGGACATTTATGTGAGCTAAAACTCAAAAAAAGAACCGGTACCATCAAAGGTAGAGATTATTTGAGAGCACCCCACAACATTTCAGAACATCTTGGTATGATCAAGGTCATCCCCTTCAAATTATGATTTTACATGCAAGAGTCAACAATCAACATGATAAAATTTATTAGGAATATTTATAGACCCTCACTTGGATTGGAATGATCATATTTTATAATTGGTAAAAGAACTGTGCTGCCTGTTTTATAAATTCAAAACATTTATTCTCTGTTTAGACTTTAAACAAAAAAATGCTTTCGAAAGCCTAGTGGAAACAAATTTAAATTATGGAATAATAGGGTTAAAAGATGTAGGTACTCAACAAGTTACCCAAACATTGTTGTGTTCAACCAGTCTAGAGGTTGAAGTATTTACAATCGTCTCCCCGATACAGTGCATTTTTGAAGCGTTTATCCGCACCAATTATTGTTCATTTTGTATCAGTGGAAAGCTAAGATTGACTTTCTTTCTTTCTTTCAGTTGTGTTATCATTCAGTCAATCTAACGTACTATTTATTGTACAAAATGTCCTCAGTGGTATCATAAAAAGTGTGCTGAGCTTTCGACTGGAGATTTTGATGTATATTTTCAAGAGGCCAAGGATCCATTATGCATAAGTTTCTTGTGCCCCATATGCAGGCCTGTTTCTTCTTTGAAAACCTCCCTCAACTCATTTCTGTTTCCTTCGGAGATTTTTTTTAGGAACAAAACACAAGCAATACAGGAAAATCCTTAAGGCACTCTAAGAATGGTGCCTGTGTGGAAGTAGCGATTCACATTGGATTTGAATCGCTGGAGATTAAATCTCTTTGGAAAAACGTTCTCAGGGAGTTCATTCCACATAAACGCAGTTCTCCAAATAAAAGAGTTCTTGAACAGTGAACTTCGAGATGTTCTGAGTTGATGGGGTGATGAAAACCAAATTGAACTGATTGATGAGAAAATGGTTAACCTTATGAATTTGCAAAGTGCTGTTTAATATGATGCTCCCGTGGATAATTCCAAAAATAAACTTGACATGCTTACTAAAGAGCTTCTTTGTCTTAAAATGAATGGAGGTCCAGCTGCTAATTAGAAGGCTATTTTGGAGCAGCACATTTCAAGAGCTAACAAATTAATGGTTTTCAACGTTTCTTAATCTAATAGTTAAAACTCCTCAGAAAGAGTGTCTTTAAGGTTATCCATGTGGGTATGCCCAAAACAGGGTGGTCCAGCCCTAGATCAAAACCAATAAAAGTAGTTATGAACTCACAACTCTCTATACAGCAGGCTCTTTTCCACAAGCAGAAGGTATCAGACTCGAATTATATAATAGCTCCTGACAGAACGCCAAGACAATAACTAGAATATGCAGCAGTTAAAAACGAGCTCAAATCTGGGGATCAAAATGGAAAAAGAGAACTAACTATTAAATTTCAAAGCGGTATTCCTTCTGTAGTGAAAAAAAAACAGATAAGACTGATGCAGTGTCGATTTACTATCAGAATGTAGACGGTTTTCAAAGAGGGCTTCATGAATTTAGTCAGGCAGCTCTAATCTAGATGTAATTTTGTCAGTTGAGACTTGGCATATCTGACGCGGAAATTAATTTGTGTCAATATAATATATTCAGAATTGATCGTAACTATGCAGTGTGTGATATGAATAGAGTGGTGGTCATAACAGTAAAGAAAGGTTTTGAGGCAAAGCTAATTTCAACTGAATGTACGTTGATCACTGCTCATCATATTCTGATAGTATTTACTTGTTCGGTGACAACAATCTTCCGTCAGTAATGTGCAAAACCAACTTCAATGACAATGGTCTTCTGTCATACTTTCCTGAAGGTTACTCTGCAGAAGTTATTGATACATATTTGTCTCATCTAAACTTTAAACGAGCCTATTTGGTACCCAATGAACATGTTAGATTTTTAGATTTGGTTTTCACGGATAATGTTGACTCTGAATATCTATGAAAGTTTTGATTTACTGCTTGACAATAATTTTTCATCAAGGTACAATATGTGATTGACCAGTAGATAGTCTTGATAAACCTTTACGTGAATATTAATGGAGTTTTATCCCAACACCAAATCGTCATTTTAACACCTCGACACGTTTTTCGATCACCAAAACAAGTGCCGAGGTGTTAAAAATAACGATTTGGTTTTGGGATAAAACTCGAGTAATATTCATTACTACAGCAAAGGTTCCAAACAGTACATCACAAAAGCTTTACGTTACGAAGAATATACACTGTGTCCGTGAAGTATGGAACAAATTCATTTTTAGCTAAACAGGTCATTTTAAGAAATAATCCTGAAACACGTCGATTTTTGATGTTAATTTACCGTATTTTAAAATAATAATCTAATATACAGGGTGAATTNAGTGATGGTTTTCGAGACATGTAATACCACTTAATCATATATATTTTAACTTGTTTTATATTTCTATTTCATAGTTAGTTTGTTTTATTTGCACAAATGTATGTATATCTATAGTAATTGTCCATTTAACCATTCAAGTTATCTGAATATTTTATATTTTGTATTTATAGATAAGCAATATCTGTTATGACCGCAATTGATATTTTTCATAAGATAATTAACAATGCCATCAATCTTTTCGTTCCTCTAAGAAAGCGGAAATTTTCAAATTATCCACCATGGTTTTCTAATGACCTGAAAAAATCAGTTTTTGAAATAAAAAAATTATCTTGCAAGTGAAAATTATGCTATACTTCATCATAGAGAAAGTTTGTAGCATTGATGTGTTTCTTTCCTTTTACTATGCTTGTAACCACAGTATTTATTCTGGGGTTATCATTTTCTTGTGAGGAAATTAGATAAATTGTTGAGTATTAAAGTATGCCAGAAGAGGATTTTGAGCAACATGTTGAATTCACCATATTGGTGACTTGAATTTGGAATTTCCAAAAAACGAGTTTCGAAAATTCCAAACTATAAGGACACGGACAAAAAATGTTGCTTGAACTAGTATATCAATAGACAGGAGGCATGTTGCCTATAGCTAAAGAGTTAAATGACCTTCTCGACCTGTGTAATAGTAGGATAACACCCACGCAGTACCATCAATTTTACAGTTCATCAAAAGCTTGTGAACTACCACAGAGCAGGAGAATTAAACATCATTCTGAATAATGGAATATTTTTCTATCCCTCTATATCTATCCTGAGTCCTAAACGCATGTACATTAAAATATTCAATTTTTAGGAACACAAAAACACACGTCCTTACACGTGTCCAATTGTTTTGTGATCCGAATGATTTTTCTTATACATGTGATTCATTTTATATATAAAAGTCTCGGATGTTCTTATGATTGTTATAATGGTTATTTTAATCTATTTTATTTATACCACATATGATTAATTTTATATCTACTTACACGTCTACAAAGTTTTTGAATGTTCTGTATATATTTATTTCACCCTTTTGTTAACCTTATACTCATTATTAATTTTAGTATCTGAAGTTATAAAAATTTATTTACACCACGCACAAGCAACACCTGTTGCTTCTGTGGGTTTCCCAATGTTTATTTGCAAAATGTATAGCCTTATTATGGTTGCTGTTTTTCTTTGTGTAAATAAACGATGATGATGATGATTTCAGTTAATTTAATCAATTATTTCTTGAATTCCAAGTCATAGCTCCACAAATTGAAAAAATAGTGTGAAGAAAAATCAAAATTATATTGTTTGAGTACAGTTTCAATGAAAGAAATTACAGAAAAAAAAGTTTAAAAAACTTCAGACGAAATTTACTCGTTATTTGAAAATTTGCAGTGGATGTAGTTACGTTTGTGTGACCCTAAGCCACCGTTATAATACCTCACATAGAAAATACTTCAAGTAACTGAGAATTCTGATCACTTTGTGGGCAGGTCCATACAAGACAAGACATTCTAATATATTACTAATTGTTGTTGAAGTGACAATTTTCGGATACTGTACAGACTTTATAGAATTGAAAATTTATTGATTGATTTAACGGCATGTCAGACTGTTAGTCGAATATATTAATGGATTGTAGTCTGATTACAAGGGCGTTTGTTTTCTGTGCTTAATTTCACTCGATGGTTCACTGCTGTGTCACAGTTTTATATTAGTAAAATATGGAAAGAAACGGGTGGATGCTCTTTTCCACTAAAGATATAGTTTTCTTATGCACGCATAATTGGAATGAAGAGCAAATCCATGAACAATTGAAATTGGAAATAGAGCTTCTCCCTTCTGTTAGTGACTTGGAATCAGTATGTTCTCTACATTTCTATAAAAAGAATTTCTTAATTTTTTTGAAAAGGTCATCAATCTCATGTAAGTCCATTATGTCTTCACTTAACGATAGAATAGGCAAAGTTCTGACTCCAAAATTCGTGCATTGGAGACATGCAAAATGAAAATCTTAATCAATTATATTTATTACATTTTAATCCACACATTGTTCACTTCAACAGAACATTTAAAAATTTGAAAAAATAATGAGATCATTCAAACCTGACTATGAAAAGTCGCAAAACATTCTAATTTTATACCTAAAATTTGAAAGATCATTTCCCAAAGCATTACTCTGCATCTTTCAAAATTACTTTTCCACACATAAAAATTGTGAAAATACTTCTCTATCTCTCTCTCTCTCTCTCTCTCTCTCTTTCTCTCTCTTTCTTCCAATTTTACCTACTAATACTATTCTAGCAAAATTAAGATGCTGGATCATAAATCAGCATGAAGCACTTTATTTTGTTGAGGATAATTTCATAAAGATGGGTTTATGAATTGCGGTGTGCTTCAAGTTGTAGGTACAGTACTAGTAAATTGACTTGATATGTTTTGTTTTTGTTCTGGATTTAAAACTGTTAGAGAACCATCCCAATTTGACGCTGAATCGATTTGCAGCACAGTTTCCACAAATAAAACTTAAAACAGAAAAATTTATATTTCATGATACCCCAGAACTGGCATTATCTATCGCAATGCAAATGGTAAAATTTCTTTATTACTCATGTGTGAATCGAAAGTTCTCTCCAGTCCCTACTCCAATGTTCAAACCAATTATTACCTTTCTGAAATGAGTTCAAATTAATTTACTAATTTGAAGGCATTTTGGGTATAGAAATTGTCAACACCTAAGTAAATCTAAACATATAGTTACAGATAATTGACATATACATTACATATGATGCACTGTTTGGAACCTTTGGTGTAGTAATGAATATTACTGGAGTTTTTTCCCAACACCAAATCGTTATTTTTAACACCTCGACACGTGTTTCGATCACCAAGTGATCATCTTCAATCCAAAGCAAGCTACAAAAACAAATCAATGGATAAAAAAGTTTCATTTTCACATATTTTAAAAAATTAAATGTTACAAGCCGCTACTAGACTCAATAATTTTTATTTAAATAAAGGCTAAATGAACCTCTTTTCACCAAAAATAACATTACCAAATTTCATCAAAATCAAATAATGGATATTCACAATATTATTAAATAAATTATTTTTTTAGAAAAGTTTAACACCTTTTATCTTTCAAACAACACATTTCCTGAGCTTTGTTTATATGACTTTTTTTTTCAACTTCACTCCTGAACATGCACATTTTTCCACCGCAATTACGAGACCCCCTTAATGATATGTATGAATTATGTTTGTTTAAAAGTGGCTCACAATGCTTCTTCGTGAATATTACAAGTTCAAACTTCCATTGTCTAAAACGAAGTTAACAGATTTCAAACCTATGGATGAAAAAATATGAGAAAAACTTGTATGAACACTTATTTGTGGGGAAAACAAATTATGCAGCGTATCCTATATTAGTGAAATCAAGTGGCCAATAAAAGTCAGTATACTGGGTGTACAAAGCACCCACGTCGAACCGACTGGCTACCAATGAATAAGATACATTGTTGCCATATCACAAAGTATTGAAAGATATCGATATATGGCTAATCCGAACATTATTTTAAATATTAAAATCGAGAAGTGAAATATCCTATTATTGACAGAAAGCCAGTCTAGTACCAACAGCATAGTCTGGGGGTACAAGCAATTGCATTCCCCTATTCTGTAACTTCTGTAATGAAGATATACTATTCGCATATCTTTCATATCTTAAAAGTTAAGATGGTAGTCCTGAATGAACCAAAACAAATTTCAATGGCTACACATTGTGTAATCAAACTTTACTAAACCGAAGACTGAAGCAAACCTAAAATATTTCTAATTCAAAAAGCAATACCAACCTCTATCCTCCATTCTTCGAACTAATTCGTGTTCCCCCCACTTAAGTACTGCATGTAATACCTCCAATTCACTAGCTTGCAAGAACGGACTTCTCAATACCTCTATCAAGTGTTTTTTATCTAACTGATGTAAAACTGGAGACTGGGAAACGGGTTGAAATTCTTCTCTCAGAAAATGTAATGCCTGAAATTGAAAAATATTTTTCACTTTTTTCATACATTGTGTTTCCTAATTGCAGTGAAAAGATATGAGACCATATTCAGGAGCTGATTTTATGAAAAAAAGTTCATATAAACTTAGTTCCGGAAATACATTGTTTCCAAAATACAGGGTTTTTCCTGATATTCTGTAATGAAATAAGAACTTAAACATTTTCTGTAAAAAATATTGAATTCATTAAAAATTATCTAGACGAACCCATGTTCGATAACCTCATGGTTATCTGTCTTCAGACAGTCTGAGTCTCTGCATATGATGATTCAAATGACAGTGACCTCTGAGAAGGCCTATCAGACATCGTAGTTCATCCCTACTATAGTCCAATAACTGTTTTGGTATCAAACTTCGAAGGACGAATAAATTACTTGAGGTGAGCCAATCCTGGAAGATTCTGCCAGAAGTCCACAATTATTTTTGCCATCCAGGTGAATAATTTTTGTTTGGCAAAGTCTAAAGCGATGCCAAGGAGTCAAGGGAGTCAGCAGCCTCATTGCCTTCCAGGCCAGTATGGCCAGGAATCTAGACCAGAGACAATCTGTTAAGTCTTCCGTTCGAGGAGAATCGTTTTCGGCAATTGGCTACCAATTTAGACATTGCTCGGTAGGAGTCAAGAGCTTCCAACGCCGCTTGACTGTCAGGGAATATTTTCAATGACTTTTGTATGCGGTTGGATTGTTCCAATCTCTCCGCAAACAATTCAACAGCGTAAATTTCCGCTTGAAATACAGTCTCATAGGTTCCTAGACAGGTTGATATCTCTGTCCTGGGTCTGCGACTGAAAACACCTGCACCAGAACCTGAAGGTGTTTTTGATCCATCTGTGAACCAAAAACTATCTGCTCTTAATATTTCCTTCTCTCGGAGGATCCAGTCCTCTCTACTCGGGAACAGTACTTTATAAGGCAATTCGTAGTTGACAGTTGAAGGCATAAATTCTGTTGCACTCTGCATTTAATTGATTTGTGCAATTGGCAATGTGCATAAGTCTATATGCAGTCCATCTAGCCTCTCTCTGCAGAAAAATGTGGAGAGGAGGAGGCATTGATGGCCAGACAAGCCTGTCTCTGTAAGCCGGAGAGCTTCGTCTGAGCCGTTTTCTGATATTCTGTGATGAAATAGGAACTTATGAACATTTTCTGGAAAAATATTGCATTCATGAAAAATTATCTAGATGAACATGGGTTCATCTAGATGATGTTATTACCATGTTATTTACCTAAATGATATTAATCACATATCCGGATCACACTGTATAAATCTTTTTGCAGATGATACATTGGTTTATTGTATACATGAAGATTTGGATCAGGCAATTGTTGAAATGAATAGGTCTTTAAATAGCATTGAAACATATTTATTTATTAATAAACTGAAACTAAATGTCAGTAAAACAAAAAGTATGATTTTGACATCATCTTATAAGTATGATCAAATTGTTTGGGCAAATGCTGTTATAAAAATTAATAATGTTAGCATTGAAATTGTGACTGAAATAAAATATTTGGGTTTTATAATTGATAAAAATTTAAAACTAAATAGTCATGCTGATTTTATTTGTAAAAAAATATCTAAGAAACTTTTTTTTCTCTCTCGTATATGTAAAAAAGTGTCTATGTATGCTAGGTTGACTATTTTTAAAAGCCTAATACAACCTCATTTTGATTATTGTACTACATTACTTTTTCTACTTGGTAAAAATAAAATAGCGCAATTGCAAAAGCTTCAAAATCGGGGCATGCGATTAATATTGGGATGTAGCCGTTACTCAGCAATTAAATCGATGTTACAGTGTCTAAACTGGTTTTCAGTNTTTTTCAGAAGCATCACTTCATGTCAGTTTCTAAGGAAGTTATTCACAATAATAAATTTTGAATTTTACATCATTCCTAAATAATAACAATTAGTTTATCATGCCTTTTTCGTTTTTTTATCACAGATGTTAATTTAATTTTATCTGACATTTCTTTCTAACCTAATATCGGTTATCAGTTTTTCGTATTTTGATGCGTTTCAATGTAAGAATGTTAATATTTGAATTTCCCACTCTTATTTGCTTGTTTCCGGTCAAAGCTGTGGGTTTCAATATATGTACTCGTTATCTATTTTACAAATTAGAACTTCCATTGCCTTAAAAGGTGTTAACAACGGGTCTGAAATCTATGAAAAAACAAAAAAAAGATAATGTTGATATTATTCAAATTACTAAGAATAGTCGGACTAGGATATTCATTTGAGTTACCTGTATGAGACAAACAAATATGACATATTTCAGAGGCGTGCTGCTCTGTTTACTTATGTTCCGAGTTCCGAGACATTCTGTGACATATGACATTTTGTGCACCTAACCTATCTTCCTCTACATAAATAAATAACAAAACAACTGTTGTTTATGTGGCTTGTGGAGGTGGTATTGAACTATAATTTATATTTTGCCTTAATTGTTGATTCATCAACTTTATTTTGTTCAAACTTGCATTTGCTGTAATAACCCAAATTGAGGAACATTCCCCATTCTCCAAACTAGATAACAAGTGCAGTTCTGACATCATTAACAATAAACTACTCAAAAGAATGATGAAAGTTGTAGAACAACCATTTTGAACGTTGTTAACACTTTGCTACTTACAGGTAAATTTCCTTCAGAACTTGAAATCAGTAAAGTTGTTCCAGTACCTAAAAAAATAATATTTCCGAAGCTAGTAACTCTCGTACTATAAACACTGTAACGTTATTAGAAAAAGTCTTAGGAACAGCTGTCTATGAATAGTTATATTGATAT